AATATTTATTAACAACTAAGGTTGACAATGCATTGTGCACAAAGCAACATTATCAAACGAATTATAACATAACGAAAGGTTATGCACAGAAATAGTGGTCTCCAATATAGAAAAGCTGGATTTATTTTCATGAAATAACTAAATATGTCCACTCTTTTTCATATGGATGCAATGCAATGCACCATCTTTTGAACAACATTGTGTTTCTCACAGCTCCTGTTCACACTTCGTGTTTTTAAACGTCTTGAAATTATTCAAAATATAACGGAGCGGAACGCCTTCGGGATCATAAAAAAGATAAAAAACAAAACATAAAATCAATCGTCTTAAAGTTTTTCAGAGCTTATTATTAAGTACATACTTTTTTTTGCCAAATCTTACTTTATTTTTCTTGCTTTTCTTTAACTTTAACTTCATTTTATCACCTGAAGACGAAGACCCGTTGCAGTCACATGAGCTGGAACTTTAAAAGGATGAATGCTGCCGTTTTTCTGAAAAAAAGTACAACATAAAATTATTCCTTGCTATATTTTAGGGGTTCAATTGTAAATTATCTCACATAATCTCAGTATAGGCCTTTATGTAGAATTTATAAGTTGATAGTAAAATTAATGTCAATTATACCTAATTTGTATCAAATAAATACTGTATCTTAAGCTTGAAACAACAAAATGTATACACTTTTATTATTTTATTATTATTATTAACAACACACTCTGAAAATACACCCATAAGAAATGTGACAGGTGTTCTGTCACGTTTGTCATGTAGGTAGCCTACATTATTACTTGAACCATTTTTGTCAAAAATAAATTGATAAATAAACTTAACATTAGATTGTTTTCTGTCCTCTCCGTTTTTAAACATCAATCTCAACATAATATAATTGTACCACAACATGGGGTATATTGTGAATATACTCAAGCAGCTCATTGTAAAAATTGCAAATATCCGTCAATGGTATCTGCTGATGGCTGCTCACCAAATTACGCTGTTTGACTTATCACCTCGCAGCTACCTGCTAAACAATGGTCTTCCACAGGTAAATTACCCTCTTCTCTGTGATTACTGATGTTTTTAATTTTTGTCCTGTTAATACGCTGTTATTTATGCTGCTCCGGTGTTAGCTGCTGCATTAGCCACACATAGCGTTAGCTCTCAGGAAGGCTAAATTAGTTTAACAAATTAACAAGCAACACAATCCAATAAAAGTATATTGTATATAGATGACCTAAAACTGTGTATAATCTGCATCTTTCGCCACCGTGTTGGTGCTTGACACCAAATTAATTATTTGCATTTAGACATACAGGGATTGGACAATGAAACTGAAACACCTGGTTTTGGACCACAATACTTCATTAGTATGGTGTAGGGCCTCCTTTTGCGGCCAATACAGCGTCAATTCGTCTTGGAAATGACATATACAAGTCTTGCACAGTGGTCAGAGGGATTGTTAGCCATTCTTCTTGCAGGATAGAGGCCAGGTCACGACGTTTAGCTGGTGGAGGAAAATGTTTCCTGACTCGCTCCTCCAAAACACCCCAAAGTGGCTCAATAATATTGATATATGGTGACTGTGCAGGCCATGGGAGATGTTCAACTTCACTTTCATGTTCATCAAACCAATCTTTCACCAGTCTTGCTGTGTGTATTGGTGCATTGTCATCCTGATACACGGCACCTCCTTCAGGATACAGTGTTTGAACCATTGGATGCACATGGTCTTCCAGAATGGTTCGGTAGTCCTTGGCAGTGCGCACGCGCCCATCTAGCAGAAGTATGGGGCCAAGGGAATGTCATGATATGGCTGCCCAAACCATCACTGATCCACCCCCATGCTTCACTCTGGGCATGCAAAAGTCTGGGTGGTCCGCTTTTTTGGGGCTTCTCCACACCGTAACTCTCCCGGATGTGGGGAAAACAGTAAAGGTGGACTCATCAGAGAACAATACATGTTTCACATTGTCCACATCCCAAGATTTGCGCTCCTTGCACCATTGAAACCGACGTTTGGCATTAGCACGAGTGACCAAAGGTTTGGCTATAACAGCCCGGCAGTGTATATTGATCCTGTGGAGCTCCCGACGGACAGTTTTGGTGGAAACAGGAGAGTTTAGGTGCACATTTAATTCTGCTGTGATTTGGGCAGCCGTTGTTTTATGTTTTTTGGATACAATCCGGGTTAGCACCCGAACATCCCTTTCAGACAGCTTCCTCTTGCGTCCACCGTTAATCCTGTTGGATGTGGTTCGTCCTTCTTGGTGGTATGCTGACATTACCCTGGATACCGTGGCTCTTGATACATCACAAAGACTTGCTGTCTTGGTCACAGATGCGCCAGCAAGACGTGCACCAACAATTTGTCCTCTTTTGAACTCTTGTTTGTCACCCATAACTTTGTGTGGATTGCAATATTTTGAGCAAAACTGTGCTCTTACCCTGCTAATTGGACCGTCACAGTCTGCTCTTATTGGTTCAATTTGCAATTAAACAAGATTGGCCACCGGGCTGGTCCAATTTAGCCATGAAACCTCCCACACTAAAATGAGAGGTGTTTCATTTTCATTGTCCAACCCCTGTATATCTATATCTAATATATCTGCAGAGGCGGAGTGGAATTTCACATTGACCATGTATCCATTTTTATTACTCGCGCCCATATATCCTCGTACGAATATCTTTGTCTGCAAAATATACTTTGAGTTGATTGTGAATAATTAATCTAGTTAAGAAATTATTAGACAAAATAGAAAGGGGGAAAAAAGAGAAAAGTGCTGATAAATTGGCTGCAAAAAATGAGACTTGTTAGCACAAAGAAGAGATGCTGTTTTTGTCAAAAAAGGATGCTAATGAAAAAATGTGGAAATACTAAGCCCTGATTGGATATCTGACTATCCAATCAGCGGGTGTGGGTACGGTGACGTTACGTGAGGCCTTCGAGCAGGCCCTGGCATCACCAACCTAAAATCTGATTGGTTGAAGCAACAGTGTACTCGACATGTATTTTCTGTGGGGGGGGGCCTGCAGAACGGATTGTGAAGGCCTCCTGGCAGACGTCTTTGACTTTGACCCTGCCTAGCGACAAAGGATGTCTGAAATGTGATTGGTTAAATGCTTTTATATGAAAATGAATGTCTGGAAGCAGCGCAACCAGGGGGAAAGCTATGAAAGGAAGCTGACAGACTAATTAGAGATATTTAATAAGTTTCCATGGACAAAATATAATTAACATCAGTCTGTGATTCAGATCTTTTCTTAGGCCTGCAGAGAAGGCCTTGAAGGCCCTGACGGCCCACCACTGATATTTTTCAGTATGGACGTGGAAGGTTTGGTGCAACTTGGAGGAGAAGAATTGAATTTAATTTAATTTAATTGAAAGCCTTTATTGTCATTGTACACAGTACAATGAGATTTGGAGAGCAGCTCTGTAAAGTGGACACATAAATAACACATACATACATATACAATACATTAGTGCAACTGGAGTACTAGATGTTGATTGAGTAAGGTGACAGCTTTGGGGAAGAAGCTATCCCTGAGTCTGTTTGTTTTGGTCCGTATTGACCTGAAGCGCCTGCCTGAGGGCAACAGGTTGAAGAGATGAAAGCCGGGGTGGGTGGCGTCCCTCAGGATGTTTCTGGCCCTGCTGAGACAACGGGAGTTGTAGATGGCAGTCAAAGAGGGCAGAGGGCATCCGATAATTTTTTCTGCAGTGTTTGTCACTCTCTGCAGTCGTTTCCTATCAGCCTCCGTGCAGCTGGAGTGCCACACTGTCACAGCATAGGTCAGCAGGCTCTCGATGGTGGAGCGGTAGAAGGTCATCAGCAGCTGAGGTTTTAGTTGTTCCTTCCTGAGCACCCTCAGGAAGTGTAGCCGCTGCTGGGCCTTCATGACCAGAGCTGTGGTGTTGGCCGACCAGGAGAGGTCTGCAGAGATGTGGATGCCGAGGAATTTGAAGGACTCCACTCGTTCTACACATCCACCGTTGACGTACAGGGGGGCAGGGGCGGATTTCTTCCGTCTGAAGTCCAGGATGAGTTCCTTAGTCTTGTTGATGTTTAGTGCCAGGTTGTTTGATGCACACCACTCGCCAAGTTTCAGGACCTCATCTCTGTAGGCCGCCTCGTTTTCCTCTGTAATCAGCCCCACCACCGTTGTGTCATCAGCAAACTTGATGATGATGTTCTCTGGGTGGGCGGGACTGCAGTCGGATGTGTAGAGGGAATAGAGTAATGGGCTCAGCACGCAGCCCTGTGGAGAGCCAGTGCTGAGAGTGCGGGAAGAAGAGAGGTGAGGACCCAGTTTCACCTGCTGGGGTCGGTTGACCAAAAAGTTCTTTATCCAGGAGCAGGTGGGTGGTGGGACCCCCAGGTCGGTTAGCTTGGGGATCAGAATGTCCGGTATAATTGTATTAAAAGCTGAGCTAAAGTCAATGAAAAGCATCCTGACGTAGCTCTCCCACTGCTCCAGGTGACTCAGCGCTGAGTGGAGAGCGATGGCTATGGCGTCTTCGGTGGATCTGTTAGTCCGGTATGCAAACTGGTGCTGATCCAGGGTGGGGGGGGACAGGCTTTGATGTGTCTCAAAACCAGTTTCTCTAGGCATTTGGTGATGACTGGAGTGAGTGCAATGGGGCGGACGTCATTGAGGCTGGTCGTGGGTGACTTTTTAGGGATTGGGATGATTATAGCAGACTTCAAGCAGGGTGGGATGACAGCTTGTTGCAGAGATATGTTGAATATGTCTGTACCTGTGATAACTGCCAAGCACATGCCTTGAGCACCTTCCCAGGTACTCCATCTGGACCTGCAGCCTTCCTGGGGTTCACTGCACAGAGCACCCGCCACACGTCCTGTGCCTTAAGAGTAAGTGGGGGGGAGGAGGTGTGCTGGTTGTTGGAGTGATGAGGTCGGATGCTGTGTGTGAGACTCAAAGCGAGCAAAGAAGCTGTTCAGCTCCTCTGCCAGTCCCGCATCCAGGTTCCCGGGTGTCACAGCTCAGCTTTTGTAGTTGGTGATGGTCTGTATGCCCCGCCACACTTGCCTGGGGTTGTTTAGATGTTCCTCTATCCTCCTCTTATATTCACCTTTGGCAGTCCTAACGCCTCCCTTCAGGTTGGCACGAGCGGCGCTGTACAATGCTCTGTCGCCTGACCTGAAGGCTGAGTCACGGGCCCGGAGGAGCATACGGACCTGGCGCGTCATCCAGGGTTTCTGGTTTGGGAACACCCAGATGCTCTTTTCAACAGTGACATTCCCAATACAGTACTTGATGTAGGACAGTACTGCATCTGTGAATATGTCCAGGTCTTCGTGATAGAAAGCTTCCCACTGTGTATTTTCGAAGCAGTCCTGTAGTCGGGGGAGGGCGTCCTCAGGCCAGGTGGTGATGGTCTTCTTTGTGGGCTTTGTTTGTCGACTGAGAGGGGTGTATGCTGGAGTGAGGAGCAGGGAGAGGTGGTCTGACTGGCCCAGGTGGGGAAGGGGTACAGCTCTGTACGCATGCTTGATGTTGGAATACACATGATCCAGAGTGTTATCCCCTCTTGTAGGGCATTTTACATATTGGTGGAATTTTGGTAGTACAGTCTTGAGATTTGCCTTATTGAAGTCCCCTGCAATGATGTAGACTCCACTGGGGTGGGCGCACTGGTGGGTATTGATGGCATTTAGCAGTAGAGAGAGAGCCATGTTTACATTAGCGTCTGGTGGTATGTAGACTGCAGTGATGACAACAGCAGCTACCTCTCTAGGCAGAAAGAAGGGTCTGCATCTCACCGACATAAATTCCAGATCAGAACAGTGTCTGTCCAAGACAGTGCTGTTGTTACACCAGCCATCATGCACATAGATGCAGAGCCCGCCTCCTCTGTTCTTCCCGGAGTCACTGTTCCTGTCCCATCTGTGTAGTGTGTGGTCTACTAGTTGCACCGTGGCATCAGGGACTTGTGTGTGTAGCAATGTCTCTGTGATGATAAGCACACAGCAATCGGAAACATAACGGTTACCAGCCAACTGTAATTCCAAATCGTCCGTTTTGTGTACAATGGATCTGGCGTTTGTAAGGTAGAGGCTCGGCAACGGAGGTTTGAGTGGCTGTTTTCTTAGTTTTAGCAGTAGCCCAGCCCTGCAACCTCGTTTTTGTTTCCTCTCGCATCTCCGTCTGCGTCGCCTGCCAGACCCGATAACAATCCACGGGGATCCCGCTGGTCTCGCTATTTCGTCCGGAATGTTGTGAGTTCGGTGAAAGTCGCGGGAGATGGTCATCTTCAATTTGAAACCGATGTCCAGTAAGTCCAGACGGCTGTATTGTTTCATAATGTGGGTAAACGAACGAACAATATACGATAAACACAAAAGATAAACATAAAAAAGCACTAATACGGAGAGCTGTGAGCTGCTGCGTCTATGCGCGCCGCCATGGCAACAGAAGGCTGGGTGTTTGGGATGTTGGAGGTAAAGGGAAAGCGAAGACGCCCAATATTAAAGTTTGTTCGTAGGCGAACGCAAATGTATTGATCCCAAAAATACAGAAGTATGTAAAACCTTTAAGTACAATCTTTAACTCTTTTGAAAGCCTTGTTCTGAGTCTTTCCCACCCAAGCTGGAAATCACTGCAACCTATTCTATTTATTATAGTGTACCGACCACCCGGTCCATACTCTGAATTCTTATCTGAATTTGCAGAGTTTTTGTCAACTTTAGTCCTTAAAACGGACAAAGTAATTATTGTAGGGGACTTTAATATCCATGTGGATGTTGAGAATGACAGCCTCAGTACTGCATTTATCTCTCTGTTAGATTCCATTGGCTTCTCTCAGAGTATTCATGAACCGACTCACTGTTTTAACCACACCCTTGATCTTGTTCTGGTGTATGGTATTGAAATTGAACATTTAATAGTGTTCCCACATAATCCGTCTTTATCTGACCACTGTTTGCTAACTTTTGAGCTTTTACTGCTGAATTACCCTCCACTGGGTAAAAATGTCTACTCAAGATGCCTGTCTGATAGTGCTATAGCTAAATTTAAGGATGTGATTCCATCAGCTCTACATCCATTATCAAGTCGTACAGAAACAGAGGACTCTTATGTTAATTTCAGTCCTTCCCAAGTTGATCATCTTGTTGATAGTATTGAAGGCTCGCTGCGAACAGCACTTAACGCTGTAGCCCCCCTAAAGAAGAAAATTCTTAAACAAAGACGGTTAGCTCCATGGTATACTAGTGAAACCCGCAAATTAAAGCAGATATCTCGGAAACTTGAGAAGAACTGGCGTTCAACCAAGCTGGAAAAGTCTCGTTTATCTTGGCAAGATAGTCTTAAAGCTTATAGGAAGGCCCTCCGTGATGCCAAAGCAGCATATTACTCGTCTTTAATTGAAGAAAATAGGAACAATCCCAGGTTTCTTTTCAGCACTGTTGCCAGGCTGACTGAGAGCCACAGCTCTATTGAATCAAGTATTCCAATAGCTCTCACTAGCCATGACTTCATGAGCTTCTTTAACGATAAAATTCTAGCTATCAGGAACAAAATCCACCAAGACTTGCCCTCAACTAGCATCGACTTATCTTTAAACTCAGTAACTGTAGGACCAGAACCAGTTATATGTTTTGACTGTTTTGCTTCCCTCAATCTTTGTCAACTAACTTCAATCATTTATTCATCCAAACCTTCAACTTGCCTCTTGGATCCCATCCCGACTAGGTTGCTTAAAGAAGTCCTACCCTTAGTCGGTACTTCTCTGCTAGACGTGATCAATCTGTCCTTATTAACAGGCTATGTGCCACAGTACTTTAAAGTTGCTGTAATTAAGCCTCTTTTGAAAAAGCCTAACCTGGACCCAGATGTTTTAGCCAAATATAGACCTATATCCAACCTTCCATTCATCTCCAAGGTCCTGGAGAAAGCAGTAGCCAAACAGCTGTGTGTCTATCTACATAGCAATAGCTTGTTTGAGGATTTTCAGTCAGGATTTAGAGCTCACCATAGCACAGAGACCGCACTGGTGAAAATTACTAATGACCTCCTAATGGCATCAGACAAAGGACTTGTCTCTGTCTTGGTTTTATTAGATCTTAGTGCTGCTTTTGACACCATTGACCATCAGATCCTACTACAGAGACTGGAACATTTCATCGGCATTAAAGGAGCCGTTCTAAGTTGGTTTGGGTCCTATTTATCAGATCGGTTTCAGTTTGTGCATGTTAACGATGAGTCCTCCATGCATGCCAGAGTTAGCCACGGAGTTCCGCAAGGATCCGTTCTCGGACCAATCCTCTTTACTTTATATATGCTTCCTTTAGGTAATATTATCAGGAAACACTCTATCAACTTCCATTGCTATGCAGATGATACTCAGTTATACCTATCGATCAAGCCACATGAAACTCATCAGCTAGCTAAGCTTCAAATGTGCCTTCAGGATGTTAAAACCTGGATGACCTGCAATTTTCTAATGTTAAACTCTGCTAAAACTGAAGTTATTGTTCTAGGGCCTAAACACCTTTGTGACGCATTATCTAGAGATATAGTTTCCCTGGATGGCATCGCCCTGGCCTCCAGCACCACTGTGAGAAATCTTGGAGTTATCTTCGATCAGGACATGTCGTTTAACTCTCACATTAAGCAAATTTCAAGAACCGCCTTCTTTCACCTTCGTAATATTGCAAAAATTAGGAGCATCCTGTGTAAAAATGATGCAGAAAAACTAGTCCATGCATTTGTTACTTCTAGGCTGGATTACTGCAATTCCTTGTTATCAGGGTCTTCAAAAAAGTCCATTAGGACTCTTCAGCTGATCCAGAATGCTTCAGCACGTGTTCTTACAGGAACCAGAAAAAGAGATCATATTTCTCCTGTCTTGGCTTCTTTGCACTGGCTTCCTGTTAAATCCAGAATAGAATTTAAAATCCTTCTCCTTACGTATAAAGCTCTTCATGGTCAGGCCCCATCTTATCTTAAAGAGCTTTTAGTACCTTACTGCCCTACCAGAGAACTGCGCTCCCAGAATGAAGGGTTACTGGCAGTTCCTAGAGTCTTGAAAACTAGAATGGGCGCTAGAGCGTTCAGCTATCAGAGTCCTCTTTTGTGGAACCAGGTTCCAGTTTGGGTCCGGGAAGCAGACACCGTCTCTATATTTAAGAGTAGGCTTAAGACTTTCCTTTATGATAGAGCTTATAGTTAGAGTAAGTCCACCCCTGGTTGTGCTGCTATAGGCCTAGACTGCCGGGGGATGCATCATGATGCACCGAGCTCCCCTTTCCTTTCTCTCTCTCCCTCCCGGTGCAACCTCATTCCATTAACAATGTTACTAACTGGACTCTCTCCCTTCCCCGTAGTCGTGTGCTTTCTCGTCCCCCTTCTCTCTTCTCTCTCTTCCTAACACTTTCTGCAGATATTCCTGGCTCTGGAGCTGTGGGGTCTGGATCTGTGGTTGGGAGTCTCCTCCTATCACTCCCTGCAGGTGTTCCTAGAGCTGTGGAGTCTGGATCTGTGGTTGGGAGTTTCCTGCTGCCCCTATGTTCCTGCTCATCATTAGCATTAATATCATTGCCATTTTTAATCTATTCTACGTGTTGCTGTGTTGGCCGCCTCTCTCTGCTCCTTCTGTCCTTCTCTCGCCCTCTCTCTCTCTCTTGCTCTCTCTTTCCCCTCACCCCCAACCGGCCGAGGCAGATGGCCGCCCACCCTGAGCCATGGTTCTGCTCAAGGTTTCTGCCTGTTAAAAGGAAGTTTTTCCTTGCCTGTGTCGCCTAGTGCTTGCTCATGGTGGGAATTGTTGGGTTTCTGTAGTTAACTTCAGAGTAGGGTCTGACCTGCTCTGTTTGGAAAGCGCTGTGAGACAACTGTTGTTGTGATGTGGCGCTATATAAATAAAATTGAATTGAATTGAATTGAATTGAATTGAATTTAATACAATCCTCAGTGACTCCTGGCGCCCCTACCAGAGACTGAGCGAATATGGATACATTCACTACCAAGTGAATCGAAACAGGTTCTGTGTAAATCCAGTTAGTGGGGCGCACACACAACACATAGAGCGGGGATGGAGGACATTCAAACAAGAAGTATACCGCTTTAAAGGCAATGTCACTAAACAATCCTTACAGGACACTCTCGGCTTTATTGAATGCAATTATTGGTTAGGGCGTGAGCATAGAGAGGGAAAACTCTATCGTCTACTCAAGGATATCCGAGCAGTGTACCCTGTTTAAGTGTTTTAACTTTATGTTTCATACATGACAGAAATACCTGCAGTGTATCGCCTTTTGACTAATTAAAACAAATGCACCTGTGTTCATCACATCACCATTCATATATTTTTCTTATCATTCTTTATTCATACATTTAAGTTACACTATTTGCATCCAAAAAGAGTGGACATATTTTGTTATTTCATGAAAAAAAAATCCATCTTTTGTTATAATTCGTTTGATAATGTTGCTTTGTGCACAATGCATTGTCAACCTTAGTTGTTAAATATTTCAGATGCTGCTTTACCTGTCATGACTGTTCTGTTATAGTAAGTTATGAAAGCAAGTACTTTTGGAATTGATTATTGTCATTTTATTACATAAAAAGTATTAAACATGTTTCTCTGTATATTCTGGTTCTTGGGGAGGGTCCATAGGGAGGGTCATGTTTCCACAAAATAGAGTTGAAACAGTCAGATGTGAATTTTGCAGCCCTGATTCCAGTTAATTACATACAAACTATCAAACATATTACAAGGGTATTTTATAGAAATAACTTGGTAATTACTGTAAATACAAACATGGGTAATTTCCTACTAATTGTATAGTACTTACACACAGGCTACTATATCAATATCACGCCATAATTCAAAGGTAATTTCATGTAAATTTCACGTCTACTACTTCATTACCTTGTCACATTTTATTATACAAAGGTAATTTTATAGCAGTTACTTGGTAGTTACACACAATTACTATTTCATTAGCTTATGATATTGTCAGGGTAGTTTCGTAGTAATTACACACAGGCTACTGTTTCATCATTTCGCTACAATTAAAAGGAAATTTTAATGGAAATTGCACAGTAATTGTTAACAATTACCATTTCATTACCTTGTTATAACTATAGCAACACAAAAGTAATTTATTGGTAACTAAATATACACAAAGCATCTACTACGTTTTTACCTTGTCACGTTTTACCATACAAAGGTAATTCTATAGCAGTAACACACAAGCTATATACAGTGGGGCAAAAAAGTATTTAGTCAGCCACCAATTGTGCAAGTTCTCCCACTTAAAAAGATGACAGATGCCTGTCATTTTCATCATAAGTCAAC